GTTTCCTCAGAACTTATTTGCTTCTCTGTACCTGTACCATCTATAACATTGTTTCCTACATTTTTGTGGGGAGCTCTTATCCTTTGTGAAATTTCAGTTTCTCCTTCTGCTAAAACACATTCAGAGATGACTGCGGTGCAGAACAAAAAGAAAAGCAACAGTTTGAATCTGATGGGCATTGCTTCTCACAAATATATCCCTGATACAGAGAGTTGTACTTCTTCAACTAAATCTCAAGCAAATTTTCCAATCCTCAGAGAAAAAGGATCAAATACCCATGAATCCACAGAAAGCACATATGAAGAAACAAATTTTACAAGAGACACCACCAAGTCGCAGAAAACAATATCCGCAGTTCAAAGCAGAACCTTCATAAGAAAAGATAATTAAGTCAGCAACATCAATAAAAAAATTTGTATCAACATGACTTCAGAAGTTCCCTAACCTTTACTCCTTCCTAGTTCCTACTACCATCCCGAGGCATAGAGGGTGAAGAAGGAATACAGAACCCAAAAAAAATCTAAGTTTCCTAAGTCAATCAATGAACAATATTTTCAAGATAATAATGAAATAATCAAATTACCTGATATCTAAAACAATTAATGAAATCATTTATCCAGACAATATCATTGCAGAAGCTTCTCAAAGTGAAAATCCCAATGTATACTCAAAATTTTTTTATTAATCCAAGAGAAAAATAACCAAAGATGGTTAGATTCCCAGGCAAAGAGCGATCTTTTAAAATTCCCAAAAAAGTCATCATTACCAACAAAAAAAAAAAATGGAAATCCAACCTAAATCAGAAAATGTAATTGACATTAACACGCAAATGCAACGACTAGTTAAACCCTAAAATGGGAGATGTATCGATGAAGAAATCAAGTCAAAACAAACATTCGATCGGAAAAAGGACAAGCCCCCAATTGCAATCATTGAGGAATTTAACATTTTACATTTGAAAACTCGAAGATTGAAACCGACCTGAAGGAGAAAGAGCTTCCCCGGCAAGACGATCGTGAAAGCTGAAAGCTTGGAACAACCTCAAATGCTTCTATTATTATCTGTTTAAGACAATGGAGAAGGCTACGGAGTCGTGAAAGTGGACAGGCAATAAACCCTTCTGAATCAATTAATTACAAGTTTGGAAAGAAGAAGACTAGGGTTGCAGCACATTGTTTTCTACCGCTGTATTAAGACCATCCAACGAAAGAAGAAACATCCTTTGGAAAGATGCAATATGGTAGAGGACCCTGATAGCACTAGTGCCGGTCCACTATAAATGTAACCAATCAAAAATTAACTCCAATCAATAAGTTAGGATTTTTTATAAAATGTTTTTTATTTAAATAAAAGTATTTAAATCAATTTTTACATATAGTTATTCCCATTTTAGGTGCATCATATATCAATTTTGTATATATAAAAAAATTAATTTTTTAGTAACTGATTATAAGATTTGAATATTGAATTTGTAACTTATAAAATAATATTTATTTATGAATGTGTATTATTTATTTATTTTATCTTAAAATAATAATTTTTTTTTATCATTTTCTTTAAATTAAAGATTTAAGAAATTTGACCTTATAAAAAACTAAAAAATAAAGAGAGATGGGATAATTAATAAAAAATAATTATAAAGTTAAAATAAAAAACATTTGTTTAACTTAAAAAATAAAAAATAACAATTAATTTAAAATAAATTTAAAAAGATTATTTAATTTAACAATTTCAAATTAATAATTAGTCATTTAATTCAATCTAATAAATAAAAATATTTGAGTTA